TCCGATAATATCTTTTGAGTTGTATTATTCTTATTTTTATGTTCTTCTGCTATTTCGCCTTATTTCACTTTACGTACAGTCCATCTCATTAATTTGAAAATGCATTCAATATAATTAAGTTCGTGATACGTACCTGTACATTTTCCCATATGTTGATGCTTCTCCGCTTATCAGTCAGCTCCATCAGCTCACATTCCTACGAAGCAGCGCATAAAAGACCGTAAGCTTTGGCAGATAGTGTGTTGAGCTTTGCATAACAGCCGCACTATATTAAGTTCCCCCAGTTTTAGTTGAAAAATTCGAGTCCCTCGTGGCACACGAAGGGAGGTCTACCACAGAATTCGCTGCATGGTGCATCAGCCAGGAGGAGGAGCATTTTGTGCTCGATGAAGCTTCTCCGTATACTCTCTCTCTTCTTCAATCTTTGTGCAGCTGAGCAATCGACGGAAAAAATCTCGAAACTCGGGAGGAGCAACTAGTAATAGGCAGACTAAATTTCATTCATCAGCGCGCCTAGACGCGTGTTCAAAGTAGATTCAGAGATACTGGAATTACTAGAATTTGCCCACGATGAAGCAAGATCACTCAACACGTTCTCCGATAAACTGCTGAAAAGATCGCAACTGTGGAAAATCAGCACACTTCCTAGAGGCACAAGCTTACAACTGCTCAGGAACGACATGGCTACTAGTGTCAAAGAGTCAGCGAAGGAGCTACCGGAGCGTCAACCCCGTAGTGACCATCAGGTCACCTACAGCTCGACGTCTGTCCCTTCCATCACAGGCCTCAACACAATTACCAAAATCATGTTTATTGATACCAGTACCACCACAATTTAAGAAAGATCCCATCGGGCTCGATGGCCTCGTGGTCAGGTAGCATCGGAGCACGCGAGTCTCCATTTTCGCCTCCTCACGGGGAGCTTGCTCAGTAATAGTCACCACGGAGATTCTTTGGTTTCCATCGTACCGCGGCAGCGACCATAGGCCCAGGAGCGCGGGGTGCGCCTCGCCCACGCTTGTACTCTCTAAAACTCTCCAACAATATATCATGCCAAACTTCTTCACTATTTAACCACTTACCGGAGGCATTAAAATAAATGTCTGGGCGAATTCCCTCACTGAGGAATCGCACCCATGGTGGGCGCTCGTCGGGGGTTTGATGAGGCAGCTACGAGGTACACCACTGTGGGTGGTGACCCGATACTTCCACCGGGAGACCCCCGCAATCGCCACCGCCGCCGCCGTCGTTGGGTTTGGACTCCACTGCACCAACATAGGTGACTGCACCACCAACGTCCATGTCGTTGCCAAATTCATCTTGAACCGTTGGCAAAAACTAAGGCTGCCTACCTCTATTGCCTTCTTCTATAACCTCCTTACCAGTTATCATAATTTATCGAAACGCTTGTTTACTGTTCCTTGCTCTTTTCCCATCTATACACTCTTTCATTTCATCAGCCATCTCTCCCTTCGGGACGTCAACTCTTCGAGCCTGAGAAATTATTCATCCTATTCTTGTCTCTCCTTTGCAGTCCGCAACGCGGCTTTTCTGCGATCTTTACTGCGTTGACCCAACTCTGCTTGAGGGCGTCTTATCCTCTCAAAAGAAGCACTCGTTTTTTAAGTTCCTCCACATGTGCCACTCGGCTTCCCGTGCCATAATGCACACGGTACATATTGGATCCTTCTACTTCTAAAACTATTCCTGAAAGCCACTTGACGTGCCTGTTTTAATAATTACCTAGGTATACCAGCTTATCCTCTTTTCAATTTCCTTTCCTTCGTCTTCCTATCATACCAGTATTTCACTTGGTACATTTTCGGAGTTACCACACCCTTACTCAGCGTTTTCATCACACCGTTGTTTTCAGTGATCGCCCATCAGCATTTCCGCGGGGAGGACTTTGTGATGGATGCTCCGTAATCCGATATTCAAAAGTGTGCTTACCATCGCCTCTACAGTCCAAATTTTTCCTTTATCATACCCTTTTTAAAGGGCTTTACAAATCCTTCCACCTTTACTATCGGATTGTTGATTGATACGCGTGAAATCAAAAATTACTCACCTGTTTTCTCCCAATACAGTATTCCCTGAAATCTTTTGCTATGATGTGGCCTATTATCCACTACTATCTGTTCTGCCCATGAATACTAAAAATACCCTTCAATTTCTCTATTGTTTTCTACACAGTGGTTGTTTTCATTTGACCACCTCGAGCCACTTAGACTTCGCGTCTATAACCACTAGCCATCTCCTTCCATTACTGGTTTCCGCAAAACCCATATGTAATTGGGCACAAAAACTTATTGAACCTCTTTACACCACACTATGCCCCAGGTCTCTTTTTCAGTCTGTCAATAATTCCTCTGTTCTTTTGTCAGCGTCCGGGATGCGTATGCTATCACATTTTCTTTCCCATCCGGCATTCTGTGGTAAACTACTGCCCCTAAGAAATATTCAGAGGCATCTGTTGCCAAAACTACTAGTATTTGCGGGTCATAGTGTGCAAGAATATCTACTTATCTCAGACGCTGTTTTGCCTCTTTAGCTCGTTTTTCTGCGCCTCCTCCCACAGGATCGGCATTCCTTTTTTTCTCAGGCCATTCAATAGGGCTGTTAAGGTGGAGAGGTTTGTAATAAATTTACCATAATGCTGTACCACTCCTAATAGTTGTTCTACTTTTTTCAACTTCTTCTCTCAGGCATATTTAGCATCGCCTGTACTTCTCTGGTAATGGTCGTATTCCTTGGACATCTACAATATGCCCTAAATACTCCATTTCTTCCTTCAATGAGTTCACACTTCTCTCGTTTCAATTTAGACCCTGCTTCCCTCAGTCTTTTCGCAACCTCTCTCAAACATTCCCTGGGTATTAACTGTAGTAGATTTTTGAATTTCGGCTCTAATTCTAATTGCATATATGCATCCGACAGCTCCATCTTCGAAAACTTCTGCCCTCCGTTTAACATGCGACAAATCATCCGGCTTGGGCAGTGGTTGGTTGATGTCCAACTGTAGGTTTATCGTCACTTTATAATCTCCGCATGATCTTATGTTCCATACTGGTTTGGGAACCACCATTAGCGGTGTGGCCCACTCCGAATGTTCCAGCCTAATAAGTGTACCGTTCTCTACTATTCCTGAAGCTTAGCTTCGACTTTAGGCCTTAATGTTAGAACTGGTTGTTTTCTGCAAAATTTGGACTTTTCTTGTCCTTGTTTCATCCTCAGCGCTACTTTTGCCGTGGTGCAATCCTTTCCTTAACAATATTTGATTCTCTTCTAATAAGACCTTTATCTTCTCCCGTAACCGCTCTTTAGTGTTCCATACTTCTTGCGTGAAGCCCACAATCTATTTGTAATCCCCTAATCATAGCTCGGCCACACAGTGGGTGGCTAGCTGTGCGTACCACATACACTTCCATTGCTGTGGCACGTCCCTAGGACTGTAAGCTCCACAATACACCGACCTCTCAAAACTGATAGGGCTATTATTGTAAGCCTGTCGCTTCTAGCTTGGTCGGTCTCATTTCTGGTTTACCTATCCTCGACCACGTTGCCTCGTCAATTATCGATACAGGGGCACCGGTATCCAGCTCGAATTCAATGGTATGTCCATTCATCCGCAACAATGGGAACC